CTATAATTTCACAAAAATAAAGATACACACAGTGATATAATAAATTGTTTTATCCTGCAATATAACATTGCCACTCTAACGTTTAGTCTTATAATTCAAAAAGTTTTCTATATGGAAATCGACATAGCTTGACAAAAGACCGAAAAAGGCAACCTAGATAATAAACTTTATTTTAATTCACGTAAAAATGCAATATTTTGATTGGCTTATACGAGGGTGTTAATTTACTCTATCACATAGCTGAGCGGGTGACAATTTTTTTTAATGTTACCCTCTCGTGCAGAGCCTCAACTGGTTTCTTCAATTGGTAACCAGATTTTATAACTGTCACATGTGCGCTTGAAAGTAACGAAGATAAGCAAAAAGCTGTAAGATCCTAAATGACACCGATTTTAAACAAAAACAACAGGCGACATGTTTGCTGAAGTTTCAGAGGATGATATATCTGATTTACTGGAGTTAAAAGACTCAAAGTCAACAAAAAGATGCATAGCACACAGTTTAAAGAGTTTCCGTGGTTTCCTCGGCGAAGACAATGAATTTGAAACATTTGCTAAACCAAAATTGAATGAAAAACTGAGACTGTTTTTTGCTGACGGGAATCACTTGCAAAATTCTACCATCACTAATTATAGGTACGGATTGTCAAAATATTTGAAAGAACATTGTTCCATAGACATTACAAAGGATGTTCAATTCACCGGTTCAAATGATTTTTTCAAGGCAGTCGTCGTTAACTTAAAGAAAAAAGAGTATGCCTCTACTGACCACAAACCCACTATTTCTAAAGAGGACCTACAGAAGCTGTATAACACTAATAGTATTGCAATCAACACAATCACACCTTATGGTTTACAGAAAAAGGTATGGTTTGACATAATGTTATATTTATGCAGGAGAGGCCAAGAAAACTTGAGATCTATGACAAAAAAAACATTTTCTATTAAAACAGATTCTAGTGGAAGAGAGTATGCGTATCAACAAATAGATGAATATGATAAAAATCATCGTGATGAAGATACCCCTGATGATACCGTCGGTGAAGCAAGGATGTACGCAAGAGTAGATGATCCTCTGTGTCCAGTATTATCATTTAAATTGTATCTGGAAAAACTTCACCCGACTCTCAATGACTTATGGCAGCTCACAAAGGATTCCTATGATATAAGTGACACAACATGTTATTGGAAAGCTATAGGGAAAAACAGTTTAGCAGTAATGATGCCTGAAATTTCCGAGAAGGCTAAACTTTCTAGAAGATTCACGAATCATTCTATACGTGCAACATCCATTACTGCAATGGATGAAGCCGGCATAGAAGCTAGGCACATAATGAGAGCCAGTGGACATCGGAGTGAAGCCTCTATCCGTAGTTTTTCTAAGAGACTAAGCAAAAACAAGTAACGTGAGATGTCTGACAGTTTCAATAATATGCTTCAAAGTGACAATATTAATCATGAACTTCAGTCTGAAGGTGATCACAATATAACTGAGACTACACCTGAAGCATAGCCATTACTTGGGCTCAGTGCAGCTGAAATAGAAGCTTTATTTTCATACGAAATTTTCAGCTGTCCATGAACAATGTCCAGCCATGGTGGAACACTCACACAATGAATTTATGTCCGAATATTACTAACAGTGTGGTCAATTTCAACATTCACAAATGATTTTCAAAATTGAATTGTTTCACCAACTAAACAGTAACTGTTAAATTTTATTCTTTGTTGAATTTTATTCTGACAGACAGTTAAATTTAATTATATGTTGAATTGTTTCATATATAGTTATATACAAAATGAATGTGACCTTTGATTTTTCTCTTGTTAAAGAATTGATGAAAAATATTTCTGTTTTCTTGTTGTATTTTCTCCATTTAATATGTATCAAATTTGAAAAAAATTTCGGGTAGATGTGTAAATGAGACAATATCTTTATTTCTGTTATCTTATACAGAAATGCCAATGAAAGTTGGTAATTATCAAAGTATATCATGATATAAAGTTGCAATATTTTTCCAGATAAAAATAACAGAACATTCAGTATAATAAATTAAATAACACATAGCTGAGAGGGTGATAGACAGATTTTTAGCCCTTGAAAAACACTGTCAACCTCGGCTTCGCCTCAGTTGACAATGTTTTCTCGGGGTAACACTCTGCTCTATCACCCTCTCAGCTATGTGTTATTTATAAAGTGTTGTAAAATAGTAATTTTAACATTACTGTTCGCTCATCTTAGAAAAATGGTAACCAGAGTCTTTTTAAATTAACATACACACAAAACAATTCTCGTTATTTGTACAATAGTTGGCTGATTACATTATACATATTACATTATACATATTTTTCATATAGCAGCTCGAACTTCTCCTTTGAATTTTTGTTGTCTTCAAAAAATCTTTCGAACATTCGTCCACTTTGAAATGAGATTAACATACGTATTAACCTTCAATGCAAACTATTTACTCAAATTTCACTATAAATATATCGTTGAACAAGGATACCTTTATGATCCAATTCCTTAGTCTAATTTTAGATTCAAATTGACATTTTTCCCAACATCAAAACGCTTATATCAAGATATCTGATTGTCCAGTACCGACTTTTGCGTGGACAAACTAAATTTATCACTGATACATTATATAACGATTAACAGATATATGCGGCCTCTTATAATAAAATTAAAACTATATCTTCAAGGACAGTCACTTAATACATAAGTGTACCATAAGGCATCTTTAATCATATATGTATTTACATAATAATTACGAACGAAAGATAAATTTTAAACATAGTCGTGCATCTAAGCATCATGAATATTTACTTGACCCTTTGTCCTATACATCAACATTCGATATAACGAGATCACTGTTGTTTGTCAAAGTTTACAAGTTTTTACAAGTTTAAGTGACAACATACAGGTACATATGTACCTTAATTAAATGTATTGCTCATGATTCAATACAGATTAACAGTTTCATTGACAATAACTGTTTAGTGTCTTTAAGGTGGTACCCAACACCTTGACTTATATTAATTTGGCTCGTTTAATTTTCATAAAATTTTGACAAAATGTTTACATTGACCCTTTGACAAAAATATAAAAATTTCAAAAAATTTGAACCAACCACTTTATCAGAAAAATTTCATTGGTTATATAGCAGTTTGACAAACACTAATTTTGATCATTGAGAAGCTTAATATTTCCTTAACAATACAACGTAATTAAAACGTTTAGCTGATTTTTACAGAGTAATCTCCCTGTAGTGTTAGGTACCACCTTAAATATCAGCTGTATTTGTACAAGGATAAGAAACAGGTGTAATGCGAGCTGATATTTAAAGACACTAAACAGTTATTGTCTATATCCTGCAATTAATTTTGTACATGTTTTCCCATCCCAATCGTTGAATTTGTTTTTGAAAGAAATCGACTTGATATAAACGCGGACCACAATGAGGAACCCAAATTGAACTGTGACGTAAACAGTAATTTGACATAACCGTTCGCTGGCAACAGAAGCAGGATACCAGGAGACTATAAACGTCTAGTAAACGTATATCATGTTATCTATACACCTGTATTAGTATAGTAGAAAAGTCGATTGCAGGATGAAAATGATTAGGTACTATATACTAAGGGGAAAATTTGCTACTGCAATTTAGCAAATCTAACACTTCTATATATTTTTTTTATAGATTAGATCGTTTGTTTTCTCGTTTGAATGTTTTTACACTAGTCATTTGTGGGGCCCTTAATAGCTTGCTGTTCGGTGTGAGCCAATTCAAGGCTCCGTGTTGAAGACCGTACTTTGACCTATAATGGTTTACTTTTACAAATTGTGACTTGAAAGGAGAGTTGTCTCATTGGCACTCATACCACATCTTCTTATATCAAATCTACTGTTGGGCTTAATTTCATAAAACAAAACTTGTAAATTTGCCCTGTATAACCTGCATTACCCGCTGGGTGAAATAAATAAATAGAAAACGTCATACATGTACTGAGTTAATAATAAAACGTTTGAAAAATAAATTTTAAACATAGTCGTGCATCTTAGCATCAGGGATATTTACTTGAACCTTTGTCCTAATGAACTTTCTGTATAACGAGATCACTGTTATTTGTCAAAGATTATATTTTTTTACAAGTATAGTGACAACGCTCACATACAAATGTGCCTTTAAGTTAATAAAATGTAATGCGATGTCAACACGGATCAACAATTTAAAGTGATTGCGTATTGTATACTATACATAGAGATAGTACTAAGAAAAGGACGAAAAAATAGTACTTCAAATATAGCATATGTAACAACATTGGGCTAAATTTCAGAAGAAATTTGTATATTTTGTGTTAACCGTGAATAAACCTTGATTAACCGCTGTCCATGATGTATGGGGGGAAACTCTCATAAGAACGAACAATGAGTGAAGGAAATTTGAAGCATACTATTATTACCATGCGGAGGCCTCGGTGGCCAAGTGGTCTATATAGTTCTACTAATGTAATCACTAGCTAGTCAACACTGAGGTTGTGAGTTCGAATCCCGCTCGTGCGGGTGCACTCGACTCCAATCTTAATTGACTAGAAGTGTCAGTTTTCCTATCGAAGTTTTTTTACAAAATGAAATAAAATAAATCTCATTGTCTTTTTTAAAAATTAAATAAATAGAAGAATTTTGCATAAATTTGTCTTTATTTTAACTAAATGTATAACACAAGAGAACCCCTCTCACAGCGGAAAAAAATCACATTTCAAGTCCAGGTTATCATTTGTATCTGACGATTACGTATGATATTTGTTTTTCACAAAAGGTCATTATACTTCGTCCAGACATTAAAACATAGGTCGTATTATCTTTCGTTGCTTTTCAAGTTGTCTATTAAATTTGAACATATAACGACGCACGCCAAAAGGGACAATGAATTGATAATCCAAGTGTAATTTTCATTTTAAATAGTTTGGGATCAATTTCAAAAAAGAAAAGTTCTCAATATGAAATTTGATGACATTTTGTCAGATGTTGGCGACTTTGGATGGTACCAGAAGCGGAATTACATTCTTTTGCTTATAGGTTGGACTTTAACAGCACCATTCATGGTTCTGTCAGTGTTCGTGCTAGCTATGCCAGATCACAGGTAAAAATATAATTAGTGCAAGACATCGGTGCATTACATGTGTGCACATTACCATTACGTTAATTGCGCGCATTCATTTTACAGGTAAACGCAGGAAAACACATGAAAATTATACTTGACACCTAAAAATTCGTCTATGAAAAGAAAGGGTATTCGGCCTTACGCTTTCGCGATATACGGCTATTACCAAACTCTTCGGGTCTTTCTTCATTCACGTTTCTTCTATTTTAATCAGTTCACAACTGACCAGTTTTGTAGACCTAGTAGTAATTTTAGGCTGTCGCTTTTCTCTTTACAACCGCACCGGTAATCTGCCTCTCAACTTTTCTAGATTTATGTGAACGCTCACAGTTACCATGAATAACTTTTGAATGTTGATTAGCTTTTTCATCATGCCTTTGCAATTCTTTACAGTGCATCGTCATGACATATCCCCTGACATAAGTATTATATCGATACGGAGAGTTGATCCATTGTACACTAAATATTTTACCCATGTTTGTTTGTGCGTTAACGCAACTTTACAAAATTACTTATTTTCTATTTACTAAACGTAGCAATTTGCAAATAAATAACATGTATGCCTTAAGGGCTGATGGGATTTCACATGAACACTTCATATGTTTTTTAAGAATTCAATATGAAAAAGTATATAATATAAAATTATACATATGTTCGAAATTATCTTTATAATTGACTGTTTTACCTGTAAAATGTAATAAAATTTTGCACGCAATCGTTACAAAAAAATAATTCCCAAATGCGCACAAATGTAATAAGTTGTAACAAAAGTTTGTCTTGTTTCCGAAACTATACTGTAGGCCAATTCTAACAGGCTAAAATTAGTAATTCGTAAGGTTTCTGGGTATTTCAAGTTCATTATATTTATGTATAAAAAAATCAATGAAAAAGAAGTTCATTTTTATCAAGAGTCAATTTTCAAATGGAAGTGAAGATGTGTATTCTTTTTCAGATACAAGTTATTTTTATTTCTGTTAAGAGTTAAATTGTCCTACTATGCTAACTTTTACTAAAACATGCAATGAAAAGTTCCAAATAACATTTTGATGTAATGGAAAAAATCTTATAAGAATGCTATTCATTAATACTCAAAAATCCCATAAATTTAATCTACAAATAAAATAAATTCAGGAAATATTGATCATACCTCTTTCTAGATAATAATTTTTGACGGTCCATTTAAACCGAAAGTAAAATCTTGGCTTTGCGGGATGTACAAGTACGCAGCCACGTCTGTTCAGAATGTGGACGTAAAATCAAAAGCTTCGTGTGAAGAGACTGCCATGCTATCTGCACGTTAAAACCCTTGCAACAACTCTTTGAGGGGTCCTGTTGCAAGGCAAAATTTCCGTCTCTAACCAATAAACCCTCATTTTCCAGTGGCAGTCTAAATTTCCCCGAATTTCATCCCAGACGGCTTCCATTACAGAATCTAGCTATTGTATTGTTGTTAATGTGTTTCTCGTCCTTAGCATGCATGAAATATTTGCAACTGGTCGTTGCGCAACCAACAATCAATCTACACGTTAAAGAACCCTATTCTTCAAGGAGTTCATAATATGTGAGCAAGAAAAAATATTTTGCAACTATAAAAGTGTTTCACAGTTGCAGTCGAAATTGTGTGTGAAAATAATACTGTTAAAAATACGGAGAATAGATAGATAATGATTTGAATTTTAACGTGTAAAAAGAAACCAATGTTGTCCCTACAGGCAACATATGATATAAATATATCTCTATCAGCAACAGTATAATAAAAACTGTGACTAGCCATTCTTTGACTTCTTTGTTCCAAGGCTCCAAAGAGTGACTGGGGAATATAAATATGGTCACCATTGGCCTTCCTCCGACCGGCAGTGAAACCCTCGCCAAAGTGGGAGGTCCGTTTGGTTGTGCGGGATGTACAAGTTCGCAGCCACAACCGGTCAGAATGGGGACGTTAAATCCGATGTCTTGTGTAAAGTGATTGCCACGCTCTTTGAACGTTAAGAACCCTTGCAACAACTCTTCGAGGGGCCCGTAGGTGGCCTATTGCAAGGTTAACTCTCTGTCCCTATCTAATATACCCTCAATTCGCCGTGACAGTCCAAATTTCTCCGACTTCATCCCGGACGGCCTCTATTACAGGACCTACCTATTGTATTAATTGTTAATTTGCTCTCGTCCTGAACATGCATGAAATATCTGGCACTGAACGTTAAGCAACTAACAATCAATCAATTACTACTATTAACAGCACTTCTTATATATCTGATAGCTCTCCAACTGTCTCTGTTCTTTTAATTTCTTGGCTTTCAAATATTCGTCTTTGAGCGTTCCTGATCGATGAAGGTAAATCCAGAAAAGTGCTTCGGACTCATAGGTTATAAAGTGTTTGTTATCACTTTTTACAGCACTGGGTCGATACCTCTGCTGGTGGACTATCAGTCCCCTAGGGTATCATCAGCATAGTAGTCAGTAATTTGGTATTGACATGATTTATAAAAAACCTTGTTTAGATTGTCCGTTTATAAATTTTCAAATAATGTTTTGAATAGCTGTCTCTGTTTTTATATAATCTTGGCTTTCAAATATTTAAGGTAAATCCAAGAAAGGCTCTTCTGACAGATTAAATATAAAGTGTTGTTTTCATTGTTTTGAACAAAGACTGGTAGGGGAATTCTGTTCTTAAAATTCTCATTTTATTTTGACATTCTCAATTCTTAGTAGACATTTCTCACACTGAACATTTATACAAAAGACGGGTAGGGGCATTCTGTTGTTAAAATTTCTCACTTCCACGTTGAAATTTTTCACTTCAAAGCAAAACGAGACATTTTAACAACAGAATGCTCCTGCCGATTCGTATAAATGATCAAAGACATCTGCCTGGAAAGTTTTGTTTTGATTTTAATCCTTGTCGGTTTTTTATTTGATCCAGACAGTGTCACACATGCTCTACCAGCCAGAGCACATGGTATCTTTTTTAGGAGTGGGGTATGTTTTTTTTAGAGTTTGTTGTCTCTATCTGTGTTATGTCTGTACACTGGTGTCAGTTATGTATTATCCTCTATATTTGCTTCTTTCCCCTGTAACGTAGTTTATTGTATACTTTATAATTGATATATGTCACAAGATCAACAAGATCACTCAGTTATGAATTTAGATTGAAGAGAATAAATAGGATGTTTCTGTCATATAAATATTACTTCAAGTCACAGCAAGTTAGTATCTTAGTACTACGTTCAAGTGTTTACATATCATTGAAAAGATAAATAATCTAACAGAGATTACCCCACTTATATACATTCATAAGATGTTTCATGGGTAATATTTATACTGTTTATAAAATGTTGAATTATTCGAAACAGTGTATCTTGCCTTATTTGGCTCAACTTCTTCGAAAATTGGTATTTGATTTGGCTATCCATCTGTTTTGATTCGAGCGTCATTTATGAGTCAAGTTTAGACGAAAAGCGCGTCTGGCGTACAAAATTATAAGCCTGGTATCATTGATGAATTTTCACTCTAACAATGCCAAATTTGATATTCAGTACTATTGTTATGTGGTGTAAACGATAATGATATTGAACATAGCTATACGACCACAGCACAACAACACATTGAATACAGATATCTAAAGGAACAGTAACGTGCCAAATATTATTTCATACCTCTACAGTCAGACCCTACTTGTTTCATAATTTTAATATCATATACAGCAAATTAACGCCTTTCTGTAGCTTGGGTCAATTTGCCGAATGGCAGAAGTTCATGTCGCCATTCTGAGATTCTCCAAATTCCTTTGGAAGGTTATTACAGAAAAAATAGAAAAAAAGAAATGGATTGAAAAGTCTTAAAACTAAAGTACTACGCTAATAACAGGTATCATTAAATGATATCATCAAACCAGCCTTAATATGGATAAATCGGCATGTATTATACCCTGCTGATATAATTACAGCTTTGCATCCTGTGGGTCTCACTTCCGGTTGCAAGTGTTTTACGCCTTAGCAAAGTTTGGTTTTATGTTGATATATAATGTACATTTTTATCATTTTTTGTAATGAAATGGAAAAGTTTAAATTACGTACCGTGTTTTGTATCGACTTGAGAGGAAATAAATCACAAGTATTTCCTTGTGAGATTTTCGGTTAAAATCAGTGTTACATTTCCGTTTATCAAAAACTGCTAGAACGCAGATGTTCCAATTTATTCTTTCTTGGTGCTTTTATTTGCTAGATAAAATTAATTGCGTTGGCATATATTATGAACTTGTACGGAAAATCAGAAATAGCATAATATTGACCAAATTCATCGTGACTGCAAAAAAAATGAGTTCATATATGTAGTTGCATAACCACACGAATCGTAGTTATCTTCTATATTAAAGTGTTATGAACTGACTGTTTATGTATTGGCCCTGGTATAGACCCTTCGAGTTTCAGGGCCAATACAGCTAACCTCGAAAGTACACCGGTGCCAAAACATGAGGAAGCAGTTTATTTAAGAATTGAATGCTTCTTTTTGTATTGTTTTTTTTTTGGTTCAAAAGCGTTGACCGAAGCACATTTTGAATGAAGCGCGGAAGCACTTCATATTAAAAATGTGCGCACGATCAACGCTTTTACAACCCTATAGAATTACAAAAAGAAGCATTCAATACTTATAATTAAATTTTAATGCTATAACCATGAAATTAATACGAGTTCGTTTGTTTTCCTATGCATTGTTGTGACGTTGTCACGAGAAGCACAGGCTGTCATGAATGTTGATTTCTTTTGAGAAATACTTTTTATATTGTAATACATAGTGATTGGTTTCAGCCAATCAAAAGTACGAATTCTTATGAAACATACATGTAATGCAATTATAACACTATATAACGTCTGCAGCACAAACTGTTTCTTCGTTCAATGAACGAAACCTATCAATGAGGACCATATCTTTATTTTTATAAAGCCAATGCATAACATCGTTACAGAGATAACAACAACAATAACTATTTACAATATATACTAAACAAGCAAGTGGGCTTTTACAAGTCACTAGGTAGGAGAACAAACACATTTTTAGCTCACCTGGCCCACTTGGCGTCCGTCGTCCGTCGTCGTCGTCGTCGTCGTCCGTCGTCGTTAACTTTTACAAAAATCTTCTCCTCTGAAACTACTGGGCCAAACTTGACCAAACTTGGCCACAATCATCATTGGGGTATCTAGTTTAAAAAAAGTGTCCAGTGACTCGGCCAACCAACCAAGATGGCCGCCATGGCTAAAAATAGAACATAGGGGTAAAATGTAGATTTTGGCTTATATCTCTGAAACCAAAGCATTTAGAGCAAATCTGACATGAGTAAAATTGTTTAATAGGTCAAGATCTATCTGCCCTGAAATTTTCAGACCAATCAGGCAACCCGTTGTTGGGTTGCTGCCCCTGAATTGGTAATTTTAAGGAAATTTTGCCGTTTTTTGTTATTATCTTGAATATTATTATAGATAGAGATAAACTGTAAACAGCAATAATGTTCAGCAGAGTAAGATCTACGAATAAGTCAACTTGACCAAAATGGTCAGTTGACCCCTTAAGGAGTTATTGCCCTTTATAGTCAATTTTTAAACATTTTTCGTAAATTTTTGTAATCTTTTACCAAAATCTTCTCCTCTGAAACTACTAAGACAAATTTAATCAAACTTGTCCACAATCATCATAAGGGTATCTAGTTTAAAAAAATGTGTCCGATGACCCCGCCCGCGAACCAAGATGGCCGACATGGCTAAAACATAGTACATAGGGTAAAATGCAGTTTTTGGCTCATATCTCTGAAACCAAAGCATTTAGAGCAAATCTGATGACAATAGTATTGTTCATTAGGTCAAGATCTATCTGCCCTGAAATTTTCAGACCAATCAGGCAACCCGTTGTTGGGTTGCTGCCCCTGAATTGGTAATTTTAAGGAAATTTTGGCGTTTTTGGTTATTATCTTGAATATAATTATAGATAGAGATAAACTGTAAACAGCAATAATGTTCAGCAAAGTTAGATCTACAAATAAGTCAACTTAACCAAAATGATCAGTTGACCCCTTAAGGAATTATTGCCCTTTCTAGTCAATTTTTAACCATTTTTCGTAAATTTTTGGAATTTTTTACAAAAATCTTCTCCTCTGAAACTACTAAGACAAATTTAACCAAACTTGTCCACAATCATCATTAGGGTATCTTGTTTAAAAAATGTGTCCCATGACCCCGCCCGCGAACCAAGATGGCCGATATGGCTAAAAAATAGTACATTGGGTAAAATGCAGTTTTTGGCTCATATCTCTGAAACCAAAGCATTTAGAGCAAATCTTATGAGGATAAAATTGTTTATTAAGTCAAGATCTATCTGCCCTGAAATTTACAGACCAATCAGGCAACCCGTTGTTGGGTTGCTGCCCCTGAATTGGTAATTTTAAGGATATTTTGCCGTTTTTGGTTATTATCTTGAATATTATTATAGAAAGAGATAAACTGTAAACAGCAATAATGTTCAGCAAAGTAAGATATACAAATAAGTCAACATGACTAAAATAGTCAGTTGACCCCTTAAGGAGTTATTGCCCTTTATAGTCAATTTTTTACAATTTTCATAAATTTTGTAAGTATTTTCCACTGTAACTACCGGGCCAAGTTCATTATAGATAGAGATAATAGAAAGGAGCAAGAATGTTCAGTAAAGTAAGATCTACAAACACATCACCATCACCAAAACACAATTTTGTCATGAATCCATCTGTGTCCTTTGTTTAATATGCACATAGACCAAGGTGAGCGACACAGGCTCTTTAGAGCCTCTAGTTATAAATGAACAAAGCTTCTTCTGGACTGGTTTTAATGTACTCGAAATACATTCAGAAAATTTAACTGTATCATGACGTTTAATAAAATATTATGTTTAATACTCTTTACGTTTTTGATCGAAAAAAATTGCATTCAAATATATAATAATAATCATCACCAATATGTCGATTGTAACAACATCGTATTCTTCTGATTTGATTGAAATCGTACTGTTCCTAATTTTTACAGTTTAAACAATCAATTAATATAATGACATGCATAAAACATTTTATATTTTTTTCATTTGTCACAAAATTTCTTTTGATATCCTTCATAGGTGCAAGTTACCTGGCTACGACAACGATACATATGCAATACAAGGCGATACCCACCAGCGATTGGTTGACGAGTACATCCCGCTGTCTTCCAATAGTGAACAGTTGTATGACCAGTGTCACGTGTACCAAATAGACCAATACAAAACTGTGTTTGACAATCATAGTCATCCAGTAAACTCCAGTATTTTAAAATGTTCCGAATGGGTGTACAGTAGCGAGCTGTTTGATTATACATTTGTTATGAAGGTATAACTATACAAATAGAAGTAAATGGCAGTATTTTAAAATGTCTCGAATGGGTGCACAGAAGTGAGCTGTTTGCATAAACCTTTCTTATGTGGATAAAATAAGATATGGTATGATTGCTAATGAGACAACTATTTACCAGAGACGAAGATTAAGTATACCTAGATATATGTATGCCATATACGTAAATGTCAGTATTTTGAAATGTTCCAAATGGATGTACAGTAGTAAACTGTTTGGTGATAACTTTGTTATGACCTACTCTTTGTGTACTTTTCTATTGTTGAAGGCCGTATATTGACCTTGAAATGGGTTTTATAACACTGGTTTGTTGTCTCATTGACAAGATCAATGATTCTCCGCTTATTCATATTTAACAGAAAATTTGTCAATCAGTTATTACAGTCAATATCAACACGTTCAATCTTACAAACAGATGGCGAATATAATAAATATGTACTTATATAATCAAATTCCAATTTTCAATACGATGTTATAAAATGATATGTTTTGAATTATTGAATTTTAATAAAAAATTCTCATCGTAATTTTCCTTTTTCAACACAATAAATGAGTTGTTTCAATATGGTGAATCCAATAACCATTAATTGCTGGTCTTAATAAATCTAGACAGCTCTGTACATAATAAACACGGTGCTGACATGTATTCAATCGATAATATTTAATTAAGTAGAAATTAATTACAGTTGCAACCCAAAGCTTGTAATCATGATATATAGTTTGTTAGATTTTGATTTTTACTCTTCATATGAAATATGAGCTAGGGTAAACAATAAAATTCTAGAAAATAACTCATGAGGTTGGCAATTCTTTGAAAGAGAAAACGCTGTTCTTTTATTTCTTGGTCCTCATTGATTGGTTGATCGGTTGCCGTCTTACGTCAAGTAGCGCGCATATTTAGAAAGATTTCTTATTTATACGCGTATTCCTTACTATGTACTAGACCGACTTCTGAAACTTATTTTTATCATTCTACATGTAGATCAAAATGTCCAATGTAACAATACACATGAAGACATATTATTTTTCAATATTAACGTTATAATTTAACAAACAAATAATTAAGCATGAGACGTATTTTTTTTATTTTATCACCTTGATCTTTTACGAAAAAACGCGGGCTTTTTTCATATCGCCTTGATTTTTTACGACACGAGGCGTGCGTCTGGTTTGCCAGATTGTAGGCCTGGAATCTTAGACGAGTTTTTAGTCGTGGGTTTGGTTCCTTGACAGGTCAAACCAAAGACTCATCTTTCAATCAGATCAATTGAGGTCTGGAGCTGGCATGTCAGTAACTGCTAGTAGTACTTCGTTAATTTATGTATCACTGTCATTTTGGTTCGTTTCTTCTGTTACCTATTCCGACATCGGACTCGGACTTCTTTTAGACTGAGTTTTACTGTGCGTATTGCTGTGTGTTTGTTTATTCTACATTGGCTAGAGGTATAGGGGAGGGTTGAGATCTTACAAAACATGTTTAACCCCGCCGCATTTTTGCGCTTTTTCCAATTCAGGAGCCTCTGGCCTTTGTTAGTCTTTATGTTTTTTAAATTTTAGTTCATTTATATGTTTTGGAGTTTAGTGTGACGTCCATTTTCATTGAACTAGTACACATTTTTTTTTCTAGGGGCCAGCTGAAGCCCGCCTCCGGGTGCGAGATTTTCACGCTGTGTTGAAGACCCATTGGTGGCCTTTGGCTGTTTTCTGCTCTTTGGTCGGGTTGTCTCTTTGACACATTCCCCATTTCCATTCTCAGTTTTACTCATAAATTGTTTACTGCTTCACCTATTCGCGGCATTTAGGTGTCAGAAAAGACTGGTCGGCCTAGGGTCAAAATAATGTTTCCGGGTTGGGTGACATGTCTTCCCGTGAACTTTTACCTTGTAAATAACACATTTAAAATCCGGCTTAGCGTGTCGTTCTAGTATATATCAGGGTTTCTATTCATATCCTATTCACATGTTCAAGTCTTGAATGTGCATTTATAATGCCATTGGACGTTAAACAGCCATCTTTTATCATCATCTTTACTAAAACTTGTGTATTTATTAAATAAAAAAGAACCAATTTAGATACTTATAAAAAGAGTTTATGAACTTTCTATCATATACAATTTTGCATTTTATATTTTTTTCAAATATGAGTTTCTTCTAGGAAAACTTGGTATGTGACAACAAATACAGAATTTCCTTATCAAAGACTATCTTCTTTGGCGGAGTATTAGTGGGCTCATTTATGTTCGGGATTATTTCTGATACGTAAGTAATAAAAGAAAAAGGAAAGACAACATAGAACTGTATCCTCAGTAGTATTCTCTGATTTTGTATATCAGTTCTAACAAACATTAAAACCAAGAAACCGCCTCGGTGTTCACGTGCTAGCATGTTCGCCTCGAGTGCGTAAAGTCGTTGGTTTGAACCCCGGCTGGGCCCAGTCAAAGACTTGAAAATTGGTATTTTCCGCTTCTCCGCTAAGATCGTTCTGAATATGCATGAACTATTTGCCACTTCACGTTAAGCAACCAACAATGATTCAATCTTCTCCGCTAAGCACTTTAGGAGTTAAAGCAACGACTGTTGCGCTCGGATTCAGAATAATGTGTTCGAGTAATGTGACATGTCTTCCTGCGTGCTGTTACCTTGTGAACTAGTACGCTAAAATTTGGCTCGGTTTAGTACAAATCAGTGTTTATATTTATATCCTATTATCATGTTTTAGTCCTGAAAATGATTTTCAATTGCCACTGGACTTTAAACAGCCGTTCATTTATCCATCTGTAAAACTAAGAACAATTTGAGGGGGAAAACAGATCGTTATCATATGGATAACCATTTTACAACTATTTCTTTTGCAAACTAAAAAACAACTAGAAGTACAATGAATATATCATGTGTAAATTTTCTACAATTTAATGAAATTCAGAACCAAAATACTATACTAAAATATGAATAACCTAATAAATTAACGAACGTTGCATTATAATTATTGATGAGAAAATTGTATGGTAAAGAAGGAAGAACGACCTTACTTTTCACATTTTGTAATAATGCTTGCTGTCAATGATGTTTAGTACACGAAAAGAATTTTTCTTTTATGTCATCTCAACTAAGATTCTTGCTGCCTTACAAAAGGGTAGAATATAAAGAAGTAACCTTATTTATAGTCAACCTTTTATTCCCATTCTTGTCGTTTTTTTTTTTGTTGTTAAGTATAGAGAGAAGAGAGATCTTACTTATAGTCAACCTTTTATTCCCATTCTTGTCGATTTTATTGTTAAGTTAGGGAGAAGAGAGATCTTACTTATAGTCAACATTTTATTCCCATTCTTGTCGATTTTACTGTTAAGTATAGGGAGAAGAGAGATCTTACTTATAGTCAACCTTTTATTCCCATTCTTGTCGATTTTATTGTTAAGTTAGGGAGAAGAGAGATCTTACTTATAGTCAACATTTTATTCCCATTCATACCGATTATTTTTTTTGTATACGGAGATGAAGGCAGTAGTTTTAGTCAACATTTTGTTCTCATTCTAACCTATTATATTGTTTAGTATAGGGATATGAGAAGACCTTACTTTGAATCAACATTGTGTTATCATTCTGGACGTTTGTATTGTTCAGTATAGGGAGAAGAAAGACGTTGCTGATAGCCATCTTGTTCCTATTTGCCTCTGGTTTAACTTTAGCCTGGTCCCAAAACTACACAATGTTTGTCATCCTGAGGTTCTGTACCGGCTTTTGTAACGTAGGGATGTTTATCACAATATACGTCATTGGTAAGTGTTTTTGTAACGTAGGGATGTTTATTACAATATACTTACTTGGTAAGTGTTTTTGTAACGTAAAGATGTTTATCACAACATACGTACTTGGTAAGTGTTTTTGTAACGTTGGAATGTTTATCACAATATACGTCATTGGTAAGTGTTTTTGTAACGTATGGATGTTTATTACAATATACTTACTTGTTAAGTGTTTTTGTAACGTAAAAGATGTTTTCTTGGTAAATGTTTTTGTAACGTATGGATGTTTATCGGAATATACGAAATTTGGAAGTATAAGGTATTAAAGTAAATGAACTATGCACACTTAGCCTTCTTTATTTACAACAATATTTCTGTATAAAATAAACAATTTTGATCATACTTGTCGTATATGTTCAGGATAATTTTAATTAAATCATATTGGTGGTGTTTTGACTGGTTTTTAAATTTAGAAACAGAGTTTAATTTAGTTTTATTGAGGATAAAAGACAAAAGCAGCAGGACAGGTGTTTGATCAAACAAGGAAAGATGTAAATACACAGTAAACATTGCTGTTTTTTGCTCTTTGGTCGGGTTGTTGTCTCTTTGACACATTCCCCATTTCCATTCTCAATTTTAATTACTTCTGACAGTTTGACTTATTCGGTCTCCAGCATCTTAAAAGAGAGGCGAAAGACACCATAGGGACATTCAAACTCATACGTCGAAAATAAACTGACAGCGCCATGGCTAAAAAAGAAAAAAGACAAACAAAAGTACACAAAACCACAAAACATAGAAAACTAAAGACTGAGCAACACGAACTCTACAAAAAACGGTGGTGGGGGGAGGGGGGAGATCTCAGGTGCTCCGGAAGGGAAAGAAGATCCTGCTCCACATGTGGCACCCGTCGTGTTGCTCATGTAAGTACAAACCCGGTAATAAGTCTTATTCGGTAGGTCACATTCGGGAAAAGGGGACGGGATTGTAGTTACGACATTTGGAACATATCCGCTATCATCTGTGAAACGGATATTTCGTAACGGTCAAAGAACTCGTGATGGCGTTCGTAAAATTAACGATGGGATGATTTCAACTTCACCACTTGGTAATATGTGTATATTTTGCTCAGGTATGGAATGGGTTGGACCGTCTAAACGTATGTGGGTTGGACTAGTGATATCTTTAGTTGGACCAACTGGTGAACTCTACATGCTGACGGTAGCCTATTTTGTAAGGACTTGGAACTGGATTGTAATCGCAATGGTTATTCCCGTTGGACTCTTTACAATTTTGTGGTGGTAAGATACATGTACTAGTGAATATTTCTCAGTTTGTAGCATTTCTTTCTATCTCACATATAAACCTGAATCAGTACCAAATGGCCCCAAAGAGTGACTTGGGAATAGAAATATGGTCACTACAGGTCTTCTTCTGACCAGCAGTTGAACCCTTGCCGAAGTGGGGCGTCCGTTTGGCTGTGCGGGATGTACAAGTACGCAGCCATGTCCGGTCAGAATGGGGACGTTAAATCCGATGCCTCGTGTAGAGAGAGTGCCACGCTCTCTGCACGTTAAGAACCCTTGTGACAACTCTTTGAGGGGTCCGTAGATGACCTGTTGCAAGGCGAAAATTATGTCCCAATCCAATTTACCCTCAATTTTCCAGTGGCTGTCTAAATTTCCCCGACCTCGATCCCCGGACGTAATGCAACTAACGATCAATCAATAAGTACCAAATGTTATATCTTAATTAGCATTATGCAGGCGCACTAGATATGTATGTATATATATATATGAATAAGGAGATGTGGTATGATTGCAAATGAGACAACTATCCCCCAGAGTTCAAATGACGTGGAAATGAGCAATTATAGATCACCGTACGGCTTTCAACACTGAGAAACCCAACACCGCATAATCAGCTATAAAACACTCCGACATGAAAAAATGTGAAACCATTCAAACGAGAAAACTAGCTGCATAATCTATAACAAATCAATTAAACAAAAACAAATTTGACAGACATGAACCAACGACAACCTCTGAATTCACGCTCCTGAAATGGGACAAACACTTAAAGAATGTGGCAAGATTAAACAGTATTGATAGCGCTCAATCCATCCCGTAATCTGTGACAGTAGGTTGGCAGCACAACATCAGAACAAACTGTAAAATTCAGTTGCAAATAACTTAAATCAGTGGATAGATGGTTATTATTGCTGTATTGCGAGAACTGCTGTATTCCAAAACAAAAGTAACTTTTTGGGAAATTGGGAAATAGAACTTTGATATAACATACTCTTATTATTACATGTATTACTTTCTTTCTCTACCAGCAATTATAAAATAAATGTCCAATATGCTTGAATAGATATAATGCACTTGTTAATGATAAACTGACTTTAATATACTTTCATGTCATACGTGGAGCCCCTCCAGAGCACCTGATATCACCCCGGTTTTTGGTGGGGTTCATGTAGCTATGTGTTTAGAGTTTTCTATGTTGTGTTTTTTTTCTTTTTGTCGGGTTTTTTTTTTTTTTGTCATGGCATTGTCAGTTCGTTTTCAACTTGTGAGTTTGACTATCCTTTTGATATCTTCCGCCTCTTTTTTTAAATGAATTTATTTTAACAAACTCTTTCTATTCTAGGTTCATCCCCGAGTCTCCGAGATGGCTTTGTGGAAAAGGAAAGCTAACAGAGGCGAAGGAGTTACTTCGTTGTGCTGCAGAAGTCAATAAAACAACTTTCTCCGAGAAAATGGTTGATAACTTGCCTATTGAAAAGAAAGAAGCTGGAAAAGTTTGGTTGTTGTTCACAGATAGAACCCTAGGATGTCGTACTATTGTAATTTTCTACAATTGGTAACACTATGATTCCATATTATTTAATTTACATATAACTTATATCAGTATATTTTGATTTAATGCAAAGTATACATCATTTGGCGGTATTTCGGATTTTTATGAAATTTTTTGTATGCATTTAGAACTTTGTGACCTGTATATGAATATTGGGAAAACTTTATTTGTAGCTTTTTAACCTCCAGACAAATGATCAAGGAAAATGTGTATAAAATGTACGTAACATGCGCTGTAGAATATGCACTTTTTTCAATAAGTTGCCATTTTTTGAAAGCCTGTGCACAGAATTTTGTTTACAACATGACAAGTTATTGCCATGAACATTTAATATTTCGTCTTAATGATATCAATAATGTTTTTTTGTGCATTTGTTTAGTAGTAAAAAGTAAAGTAGATATTATATTAATAAAAGACGTTTGGTTTACGTCAACGAGACAGCAACAAATTGACACAAAGAGACAGTTACAGTTAAATTCACTGTCTTCAACACTAAACAATTATCTTTACAATATCACTCACACTCAGAAAAAATATGAATAGACTTAACAAAGACTGTGAAAGATATGTCGTTCACGCCAAATTTCCTTAAGAACAAAAACATATTTAGTATAACCACTAAAGCTATGTGATTTATAAGACGATATGAACGATGTCACGTGTCATTTGCATAAATTGGCATCTGCACCTAATATTTGTCTTATAATAACATTATCATGAATTTCCTTTTACCCCTTATGTTTTATGCTAATATATCTAAGTTATAGTTTGACTTGCGAATGTCTTTACATTCAACAACACGTTAATATCGCAGTGTGACCTTTGAAAACAAAAGATGACCTCATGGTTGATCACAAATTTAATATAACGGACAAATAAATAACTGTCATACAAGTCGGAGGTTTAGTTAGCATTAAACCAGGTTTAGCCCACCATTTTCGTCGAAAATGCCTGTACCAAGTCAAGAATATGGCAGTTGTTTTTCACTTGTTCCGTTGATTGATAGCGTTTGATTTTGTCAGTTTTTATGAAAGTCCCTTTTTGGAGTTTGGTATTTTTGTTATACTTTTTTTCTAGTACAGTAGTGAAGCAACACTTGATTCAATGATTGTGGTTTTCTATTTTATTACCGGTATAGTCATCCTCAATATGCATGTACATTGTAATATTTTTCTTTGAACTAACAAGCCATCAGACAATCGGTTTATTCTATTAGGATGGTCGCTAGTATGGTGTTCTATGGACTCACACTCAACACGGGTATGTTGTATGGGGATTATTACATTAATTACATGTTAGTAGTTTTGGTGGAATATCCGGGACATATACTTACCTTATTGATGGTAGATAGATACGGACGTAGGAAGAGCCACTTTATTTATATGGCTGTTGGAGGAGTCTCGTGTCTAAGTACGATATTTACTGTTTCTTTTGGCGGAAAAGGTAGGTAAAAACTTATGTTTGATGCTTCTGAATATTGTTTTAAATGAATTAATATATATGTGTTCCTTGTTAATTTGTTTTATCAGTTATTAGTTCGTGATTATGAAAAGGTCGTATAATTACCAGACTTTTTGTGTATTCCTTTTTAGCTCACCTGGCCCGAAGGGCCAAGTGAGCTTTTCTCATCACTTGGCGTCCGTCGTCGTCGTTAACATTTTACATTTTGAACCTCTTTTAGAGAACCACTGAATGGAATGAAACCAAACATGGCATGAATGTTCCTTATGAGGTGCTGACCAAGTGTTGTTACTTTGTAGCGGATCCATCATCCAAGATGGCCGCCAGCGGGGGACTTAGTTTAACATAGGACCCTATGAGAAATACATACAAATGTCTTCTTTTAGAGAACCACTGAATGTAATGAAACCAAACATGGCATGAATGTTCCTTATGAGGTGGTGACCAAGTGTTGTTACTTTGAAGCTTATCCATTATCCAAGATGGCCGCCAGCGGGGGACTTAGTTTAACAAAGGACCCTATGGGAAATACATACAAATGTCTTCTTTTAGAGAACCAATGAATGGAATGAAACCAAACATGGTATGAATGTTCCTGATGAGGTGCTGACCGAGTGTTGTTACTTTGAAGCCGATCCATAATCCAAGATGGCCGCCAGCGGGGGACTAAGGTTAACATGGGACCCTTTGGGAAATACATACAACTGTCTTCTTTTAGAGAACCACTGTATTGAATGAAACCAAACATGGCATGAATGTTCCTTATGAGGTGCTGACCAAGTGTTGTTACTTTGTAGCGGATCCATCATCCAAGATGGCCGCCAGCGGGGGACTTAGTTTAACATAGGACCCTATGGGAAATACATACAAATGTCTTCTTTTAGAGAACCACTGAATGGAATGAAACCAAACATGGGCATGAATGTTCCTTATGAGGTGGTGACCAAGTGTTGTTACTTTGAAGCTGATCCATTATCCAAGATGGCCGCCAGCGGGGGACTTAGTTTAACAAAGGACCCTATGGGAAATACATACAAATGTCTTCTTTTAGAGAACCAATAAATGGAATGAAACCAAACATGGTATGAATGTTCCTGATGAGGTGCTGACCGAGTGTTGTTACTTTGAAGCCGATCCATAATCCAAGATGGCCGCCAGCGGGGGACTTAGGTTAACATGGGACCCTTTGGGAAATACATACAACTGTCTTCTTTTAGAGAACCACTGTATGGAATTAAACCAAACATGGCATGAATGTTCCTTATGAGGTGCTGACCAAGTGTTGTTACTTTGTAGCGGATCCATCATCCAAGATGGCCGCCAGCGGGGGACTTAGTTTAACATAGGACCCTATGGGAAATACATACAAATGTCTTCTTTTAGAGAACCACTGAATGGAATGAAACTAAACATGGGCATGAATGTTCCTTATGAGGTGGTGACCAAGTGTTGTTACTTTGAAGCTGATCCATTATCCAAGATGGCCGCCAGCGGGGGACTTAGTTTAACAACGGACCCTATGGGAAATACATACAAATGTCTTCTTTTAGAGAACCACTGAATGGAATGAAACCAAACATGGTATGAATGTTTCTGATGAGGTGCTGACCGAGTGTTGTTACTTTGAAGCCGATCCATAATCCAAGATGGCCGCCAGCGGGGGACTTAGGTTAACATGGGACCCTTTGGGAAATACATACAACTGTCTTCTTTTAGAGAACCACTGTATGGAATGAAACCAAACAGGGCATGAATGTTCCTTATGAGGTGCTGACCAAGTGTTGTTACTATGAAGCCGATCCATAATCCAAGATGGCCGCCAGCAGGGGACTTAGTTTAACATTGGACACTATGGGAAATACATACAAATGTCTTCTTTTAGAGAACCACTGTATGGAATTAAACCAAACATGGCATGAATGTTCCTTATGAGGTGCTGACCAAGTGTTGTTACTTTGTAGCGGATCCATCATCCAAGATGGCCGCCAGCGGGGGACTTAGTTTAACATAGGACCCTATGGGAAATACATACAAATGTCTTCTTTTAGAGAACCACTGAATGGAATGAAACTAAACATGGGCATGAATGTTCCTTATGAGGTGGTGACCAAGTGTTGTTACTTTGAAGCTGATCCATTATCCAAGATGGCCGCCAGCGGGGGACTTAGTTTAACAACGGACCCTATGGGAAATACATACAAATGTCTTCTTTTAGAGAACCACTGAATGGAATGAAACCAAACATGGTATGAATGTTTCTGATGAGGTGCTGACCGAGTGTTGTTACTTTGAAGCCGATCCATAATCCAAGATGGCCGCCAGCGGGGGACTTAGGTTAACATGGGACCCTTTGGGAAATACATACAACTGTCTTCTTTTAGAGAACCACTGTATGGAATGAAACCAAACATGGCATGAATGTTCCTTATGAGGTGCTGACCAAGTGTTGTTACTATGAAGCCGATCCATAATCCAAGATGGCCGCCAGCAGGGGACTTAGTTTAACATTGGACACTATGGGAAATACATACAAATGTCTTCTTTTGGAGAACCACTGCATGGAATGAAACCAAACATGGCATGAATGTTGCTTATGAGGTGCTGACCGAGTTTTGTTACTTTGAAGCCGATCCATAATCCAAGATGGCCGCCGGCGGGGGACTTAATTTAACATGGGACCCTATGGGAAATACATACAAACGTCTTCTTTTAGAGAACCACTGAATGGAATGAAACCAAACACGGCATGAATGTTCCTTATGAGGTGCTGACCAAGTGTTGTTATTATGAAGCCGATCCATAATCCAAGATGGCCGCCAGCGGGGGACTTAGTTTAACGTAGGAGCCTATGGGAAATACATACAAATGTCTTCTTTTAGAGAACCACTGAATGCAATGAAACCAAACATGGCATGAATGTTCCTCATGAGGTGCTGACCAAGTGTTGTTACTATGAAGCCGATCCATAATCTAAAATGGCCGCCAGCGGAGGACTTAGTTTAACATAGGACCCTAGGAGAAATACATACAAATGTTTTCTTTTAGAGAACCATTGAATGGAATGAAACCAAACATGGCATACATGTTCCTTTTGAGGTGCTGACCAAGTGTTGTTACTTTGAAGCTGATCCTTCATCCACGATGGCCGCCAGATGGGGACAATGTTTAACAAAGGACCATATGGACAATACATACAAATGTCTTCTTTTAGAGAACCACATACTGAATGGATTGAAACCAAACATGAATGTTCCTTATGAGGTGCTGACTACGTTTTGTTACTTTGAAGCTGATCATTCATCCATGATGGCCGCCAATGGGGGGACTTCCTTTAACATAAGACCCTATGGGAAATACATACAAATGCTTCTTCTAGAGGTGCACTGAATGGAATGAAACCAAAACATGGCATAAATGTTTCTTATGAGGTGCTGATGAAGTGTTGCTACTTTGTTGCCGATTTACTGTTGAGGATGGCCACCAGGATTTTTTATTAAATTACAGGACCAATATTAAACCAAATTTGGCCTCACTCATTATTAGGGTATCAGTTATGATTTTAATCTATTTTTACATGATTTCCAAAACCAAAGTAGAATCAGGTGAGCGACACAGGCTTTTGAGAGCCTCTAGTTATATTTTCCTTCATTTTCTAATGTGTTTAAAAACCAACCCCAATGATTTAATTGGGTATAGAAACATGGACATTCCAGAACCTCTCGTATCTTGCAGTAAAATCTATCCTAAAGAAGGACATCCGTTTGGCTTTGTGAGGTGTAAATGAAGTCGTTTAAACCGATGCATCATGTAGGGAGATTGCCATTTACATTGTACCTAGGCACACTTATTATTACTCTAATAGGTGGCGTATATCAAGGAAACTTTATTGCCCCTATCCGATATAGCATTGTACGCTGCCAAACCAAATTCCGTACCAATATCTCGGTCGACTTACTTTGCAGAGCCTACATTTGTTCTCGTCCTGAATATGTCATAAATATTTGCCGCTGGACGTTAGATAAACATTCTATCAATCATATACATTAACTAAAAGTTTCAAACTTAGAACATGGTCTTTATATCAGCAAACTTTAAATTGAATGTAAAATTCGTAACAAGACTGTTCTAAAATGTAACGAATCTAACACTTCAATCACTTATCGTTTTTTTCCTTAAATCGCATCAGCCAAGATACACTTCTATAAGTTAAACAAAAAATGTGAACATTTACATTTTACATGTATGTACCTACGATTTTTTTATGAAGACTTTTTTACCTTTTTACTTACATTTTGCAACCCCTTCTGTTTTTTTTTTTTTTTGTTTTTTTTTTGTTTTGTTTTTTGTAGGCTATGAATTACAAGTTTTGACTATTAACTCCTATATTTAACGACATCTTGTAAAAAAATACATCATAAATACAATATTAGTAAAATTTTTCTGAAACTCTCTTTTCTAACACACAAAATATAACTTTCATACTGTTAAATAAAACGATAATAAAGACACCAACACCCATCAATTACCGCATGGTAAGATTTTTTTGTGGTCTACATGTTTCGCCAAAAGTTGTGGCGTCTTCAGGACAAATACAAGTATGAACAATTACCGTGAAGTATCAGCGGTTGTGTGGTTCGCAGAACTACATGTCGTAATAAATGTAGTCATAACGACGTTATTGTAAATTGTAAGTGAAAATAATAATGTATGATAAATCTACTATATTGTTATTGAGATCTGCTTTGGGTATTAAACGAAAAGTTGGTGGTTCTTTTTACAATCAGTCTCCTTTGTGGCCTCCATTGGTGGTATCCAAGGCTGAATTTTTTCCGCTAATTCGCGGGGTGTTTTTTCTTCCATGATTAAACCTTTGGTATGCGATATATTGTGGTCTCTTTTCATATGTCTCTTTGTGTTGATATGGATTATCATTGATATGGTCATAATTATAAATTAACTGGTAACAAAACGTTACATTTTTGAAATACTAAGGCTTTTCTACCTCAGGAATAGATTACCTTAGCTATATTTGTCAAAACTTTTAGAAATTTTTGGTCCTCAATGCTCTTCCAAATTGTACTTTATTTGGCCTTTTTAACTTTTTTTATTCGAGCGTCACTGATGAGTCTTTTGTAGAAGAAATTGAAGAAGAAAGATTTTGTGTAAAATGATTCATAGTTTGTGTGTTTATAGATAGATAGACGACCTTGAATAAACTGTAAAGTGGACGGGATTTTGCTATGTGTGTTTTGGTTTGGTCAAGTGCGTGTATGGATTTTATGTTATGAATTAATACACCATATCCATGTTTTTGATAATGTATCATCTGTATTTTTATTAACAGATCTGCAGTCGTTAACTACAGCACTAGCTATGTTGGGAAAACTGTTTGCCACTGCCGCCTTCGCAACGATCTATGTTATATCGGCGGAGTTGTTTCCGACAGCTATACGTAATGCGGGCATGGGATCAAGTTCATTGTGGGCTCGTGTTGGTGGAATGATTTCACCTTTCATAGCAGACACAGTATGTAAAACCTTTTGAATTTTAAATAAATATAACTATAAAAGTAGCTAAAATAGTTTCATCCTCAAATGATAATTTGATTGATTAATCATAATGTTGGAAAATTAACATCTCGATCATGTGTAGTAGATGGGCTCTTAACTTTTAGCATAATATGCATTTATTTGGAAACATGTTGTGATTTCTTTATGTGTAGCTTTGTTTTTCTTTTTGTTTTGATCTATTTTATAATAAAATGTTAAACAGGTCTGTCCATATATGAAGAAATGGACGTGTTATTGCGTAGTGTAATTTTAGAAAGATGTGAACTTATCTTTTGTTACTTTTGATTTAAATTTTGTAGGCAGATTTAATTGGTGGAACTTCAGGAAAAGCAATCCCATTGGTTATTTTTGGTGCCGCTTCTTTAGTAGCGGCGGGTTTAACTCTAACTCTGCCGGAAACCTTAAACAGACAATTACCAGAAACAATAGAGGATGGAAAAAATTTTACAAAGTAAGTACAAGTATTATTTTGTATTGTTTATCAGGTAATGAAAATTAGCAAATACTAACCGTTGACTTAGGTATAGAAATATAATCACCGGGACTTTTCACATTCAATAGTAAAACCGATGCAGAAGGAGGGCACTAGTAACCTAAAGTTTACTGAAAAAAGGATATGTTGGAAAGGGAAGACAAATTGCCTTGCAACATGCCAAACATTGATTTCAATTGTTCTTGCCCGCGTAGAAAACGTGGTACTCTCCCTACAAGAGGCGTTTATTTCAAAATCCAAATTCAGACCGAACGTGGCTTTGATTTTTCATATTCTTAGCCGACAAAACGGACAGGTGACAAAATTGGTCATACTATCCATTCATTATATTGTAGGTAATGTGGTAAAACAAACTTGTATGCGCTAATGATTATTAATAATGTTTATGCATATTGTGATACACATAGAATATTGTGATAAAAATAACTGATCGGCTACTCTTTGTTAGCTATTTAATAAATAGAACAAACTCTTTCATTCGCAGTATAACTGCGAGTTTTTCTCTTTGGGGTTCATTCGATTCGGTATTTTTAACCTTGATCTGTATCTTCGTAATTGATTTATGAGATTATACTATAAGTAAACTACTGTTTCCTCTAATTCATCATCAGCATATACAAATTTTTATTTCAGAAAAGCATATAAAGAGAAAGAAAAGGCACACGAACTTATTATAAAGAAACCACAAATTTCAATAATAACGAAGTTATAATAATTGACCAAAGGATATTTAAACTCTTTCAAATGTGAATGGAAAACATCTCAAAATTATCATACAATGAATTGCATCAGATACCATAATTAATTTATCGAATGGATTATTGATTTTTTTCAAAGTTGAACTATCATAGTGATCTAGTATTCGTGACGACTTAGGGACTGAATTATGATAACACAGAAATGGCAGTTCCTTGATATTCTATATGAAATAAAACACAACTATTCAATGGTGACCTCTGGTTATCTTTTACTACCAACTATCACCACTCGTAAAAAGCAGAAAAAGAGGAAATATTGCCCCTATAATAAATCAATATCAAAGGCAGGAAGAACTATGTTTTGTCCAATTGTGTTATCTTATTTATGTATTAGTACCCGTTTAACGTCATTTTTTGGCATCCTTCGTCGGTCGATATGTTCACGTTCTACTCTGAAACTCCTGAGCAATGGTGGACCAGGATATGGGTATATAAAGTCCTTCTTCATGATAAAACAAGTTTCGTCCCGATTGATAAAAATAAGAGCCAATTATATACCTAAACATTGTTGACCTGTGAAAGTACAAGACCCAAGTCTATTTAGTCCAATCTTGTCTGTTCGTCGTTTTTCTCTACCTTTGGTTTTTGAATGCCTTTTAATTGTGTGTGTGTCTCTCTCTCTACCCGGTAAGAATATTTTCCTGTAAAACATATCCGTATCTGAAAAATCATTTTACGTCATGAAAATACAGATTGGAAGACCTTTTTCATACTCATTTTCTCCTCAAAGGGTGTCAATATATTGGCAGCAATGAAAAGTAGAATAACAAAAATACCGAACTCCAAGGAAAATTCAAAACGAAAAGTCCCTTATCAAATAGCAAAATTAAAAGTTCAAACTTATCAAACGAAAGGAATACAACTGTCATATTCCTGACTTGGTACAGGCATTTCCTTATGTAGAAAATGGTGAATTAAACCTGGGTTTATAGCTAGCTAAACCTCTCACTTGTATGACAGTCGCATAAAATTCCATTATATTGACAACAATGTGTGAACAAACCAAACAGATATATAGGTAAAAATGTCAAAAATGGGGGTACAGCAGTCGACATTGTGTTATAATCTTAACCACTATAAATACAAACAAATATGTCAACTGAGAAAAACAAAATGGCATATAGACAAAGCACATAAGCAAATTTGAAATACAAGAATACAAAAAATTCCCATAGCACAATACAACAATGGCGGGATGTATAGGTTCCGAGCCACGCCAAATGGATATAACAAAAAATGGACTAAACAGTAAAGGTTAATAATTTACAAAGACAAATAAAAGAACACTATAACACGTAATTAAGATGATAAACAACGTCAGTACCTAGAATCTATACTTCAAGACCATCCTGTATTATTTGTGAAGTTGATACGAAACATTTATCAATAAGGTATTGGTATCTCCGATGAACCATGTTTTAGAAAAAGGACGAGACATTCTTTGACATAACCCTGGTTCATCAACTTTCTGCTCAGACACGGGTGACTGGCAGCATTCCTTTTGCGCCAATTATTATTTTTGAGATGTATCATTTGTGCCAAATGTTATTTTTGAAAGGATTCAATTGCAACAATAAACGGAATTCATTTGCGCTAATTGACCTGTACGCATATTTATCTTACATAATAATCATGAATGAAATTGGTTACATTTAAGAGTATATATAATTTATGGAATAAATGGGACTGTTGTTGCTTAAAAAATCTAAGTTAAGATGAGTTTACCATTGAATAGAAGATGAATAAATAATTTGCACCAACTAAAAATATGTACATATAACACGCTGAACACTAATTATGAAAAGTAATTACTGGAGGGAAAATAAACTTCATCAAAGAATTAAATATGCATATGAAGAAGCACTCACGACTGGTACAGATATCTGGTTTTCTGCTGACTGAGCATCGATGTACTGTAACATCGCAGTACCACCCGCTCAATTATTCTGCAGTGAATGTATATTTTTTCACTTTGCCATAATGTCCTTTACTACTCCGGCTAGTCTGTAACTCTTTATATCGGATGCTGTTACAGTAGAGTCTAGGACTTTCATTTTAAATAAATATGAAATCGGAACATTTTTTTTTTGGTGGGTTGATTTGTTATTTTGCAATATCAAGAGTTGGTCTCGGAATTGTTAAATTTGTGAAACACAACAGAAATGGACATTGCATACGATAATATTGTTTATCGTCGATAAATCTCAGTTTCGAATATTAAAAAAGTCCGCCATCACATACCGAGCTTCTTTGGAAATTAACGTTAATTTCGGTTATATATCTTAAAGTTCTGATCGGACGTTCTGCTTTCTGAAAACACAGAGCAAACTTTTTACAGCTTATTTTAAAAGAAACTACTTTTGATACAGACAATCGTATAAGTTTATTTTACAAAATACATTTTTCGGTCACCGTTTGATTAAGAAAACACAGTTCGATTTTATATTAAACTTGCATATGAAACACTTATACTTAAGTAAAAACACCATCGATTGAGAAGATGCAAAGTTTTTAAAATTAGACTTTCATCAAAGTTTTGAATAACCAGTTCATGTTATTCCTTACAGGTAAGCACAACCTAATATGTTGTAGAGTAGAATATTACAAACATACAATCTGTGTATGTGCATCTTATCTATTTAACTGAACGCTTATACAAATTTCCAAATACTGAATTTCTCTTTTCGTGATAGCAATTTTTTGTCTACCTCTCCGTCCTTAATTTTTCTTATACGAGTCGAAGTAGTTAACTGTATATGAAATGAGACCAATTGATTTAAAACTTAAACATATATTGTAAAATATGACACGTTATTGATGTAAACGGTATGATGAATTGATGTTTTAAAAAGACAAAGAATATTTGACCTTTTCGAGGAAAACTCCCTCTAAATATAGTACACGAACATGACAAAACCACCAAAAAGATGTAAATGATGTAATTTTATTATTTGATAGATGTTGATGTTAGAAATTCACAAATTTACTTGTTTGTGTTCTATATTTTGTTGAACTATGATTGAAAGTTTAAACTTTAAAAAAAAATATGAATTACAATCATGTATTGTTTAACATCAATTCGTATCGCTTTAACGTATCCATGATTTATACATTGTATATTTCAATTAATGTGTACGATGAATAATATTCTCGGTTACATGGTTTACTGATATAATCAATGCAACTTTTTCATCCATTTTCAGGCGTCGAAGTCCTGTAGTATAAGGAAACCTAATGTATTCTACCTATAATGACGTCCTTAACATTGTTGATCCAAAGTTAAGCCCATGTAGTATTTATCAATACACACAGAGCAACGATGGAGCTCGTTTCGAAGTTGCACGAACCATAAACTATGATCATTTATCGGTGATAACAATTGCGTAATTTAAAAAAAAACGACTGGTGTGTTCTCTGCTTAAATGAAGTGACAAGATGGAGCACATCAAATAATGAAGAACATCTGAAGAATGCACATACTTAAAAAAAAACTATATATATACCTCAATTATGATTTAGGCTAAATTTGTTTAAATTGTCTAGGTAGTTTCAAAGAAGATGATTTGTGTAAAAGCTAACGGACGACTGACGACGACATACACCAAGTGATGGAGAAAGCTCACACTGGCCCAAGTTATTCTACAAGGTTATCAATTAACTTTTAATAACACTGTAATAAGATTTTTGAATATTTTTAATCGGTACAAACATTGAGTTTGTTATCAATAAACTAAAACATAACTAAATATTGTTGCAATATACATTTAGCTCTACATTTTGTTGTAGATAATTATATGTTTTCATTGCAAATTCTTAGTTTCTGTTTATGAAAACTTCACATTTAATCCTTTGGACACAAAATATCCCTACATAAATGACTTCTGCTAGCTTGGTTGTCTGAAACTGGTAACAATCCATTAACATTTTCTCTGTTTTCAGCTATTCCCTGTTGAAAGATCATATCATAAACTGAGAGGGGCATGACATTTTGTAAGCCAAAAAAATCCAAATAACTGAAGACTGTAAGGATCGTGTGAAGCTCACCTCAATCAATGTATATTTTCCCAACACTTATACAGATTTGTAAGGGGTTATGTGGAATCCTCTCTCTCCACTGTGATTGCTGATGTCGGTGTAAAATGTTGATTTAATGGGGGGGGGGGGGGGGGGGGGGGGGGTATAGAAAAAATTCAGAAAGGCTATG